GTTAGCTAAAAACCTGTTGTGCAATGTATCCTTAAAAGGTTTGAGGAAGAAGAAGAAGACAAAGTTAGAAGTAACGGGACTAAAAATCTATCTGCAGTATCTGAAAGTTTCCTTCAGAAACTGGAAAAATCCAGATAGGCGTGAGAGATACATCTGGTCCTTCAGTTGTTCCATCTATTGTTCACTGAAGCCTCGTCAGAAATGAATGATAAAAAGTTGAGTTATGACAAATAATACAAGAAATGGACTGAAAATTAGTGATAACAGGTCTTTCTGATTCAAATCATCATCAATATGTATAGAAAAAGTCAGAAGAGAGATACAACAATAAGTGTCAACAGAAATCTGTAAAACACGGCGGGGGCTGTGTCATGTTTTTGGGTTTTAGCTGCATTGTGGCGTCGGGGATCTTGGCAAAACTGACTAAGTTATGAACACAGAAAAGTACAAAAAGTACTTTGATTCACCGTACAAAAACATCTGGAAAGCATCTGATTGGTAAGGATGGCTTCATTTCTCAGCATGACAGTGACTCTAAACACAATGCAATGAAAACAAAGCAGGATAGAAAAACTCCTAATGTAACACAATCAGTTGTGAATTGGATTCCCAGAGCCTGGACCTCAACATTACTGAAGCAGTGTGGGATCATTTTGACAGAGAACAGAACAGAAGGCAGTCAACCTCCAAAGAAGAGCTTTGAATGTCATTCAAGAAGCCTGGAGAACTATTCCTGGAGACTATTTAAAGAAAAATACAAGATATACTGTATTAACATATATGTTTTCACATGTTTTTTTTAAAAATCCGATTTTCTATCCAAATACAAAGAAATGTAGGTGACTCAAAATTTTTGCATAATACTTAAAGTTAAGCTAGATTTCCCCAAATCATTAAAATCACTACCACCATTAATGTATTTCAATTAACTTAGTATTTTTATTATAATACAACTTTAATCAGCAAGCATAAATAAATAAGGGCCCACTGTCAGTTTAGCCTATGAAGTTGCTTCAGTCAGCAATCTTCCAGAACACAGAGGAAAACGTGATTTATTATTATAACAAGAAAATTGCATCTCTGTTTGCTCACCGCTTCGGCTGAATGGTGTTTAAAAGCTTTCTTATCGATCAAAACTACTTGTACTTTGTAACTATATGTTAATATTCTTAGTGGAGATCACTGCTTAAAGCAACTTCGGGCAAGAAGATGGGCTTTATTACATAAACATTTTCTATTCTTAAAATCCTGAAAGTTAGAAATATAGTTTGGGGTGTATTTGGAAATTTGAAGTGAACCAAGAAAGGTAGAGTGGATTTAAAAATCTTCAAAACTGTGGAAGTTTTAGATGCACGCAGCTATAAACGACAGTTTGACCACAAATCTAATTAACTAGTTTATTTATTGTCACAAGAATTATTTGGTTAATGGGGGATGCTAGTGATACAAACAGGAAGTGCAAAGGTCACAGAGGACAAAGTGGAGCAATCAGTAACTACCAACTGTAGACCTGCGCCATTATGGAGCAAGAGGCAGTTAGTGACTAGAGGCTGTAGTAACTACACACAGCCTGTTTCCTGACAGTGCATGTGGGCCATGAGAGCTGGGGGGGATACACCTTTGCTTAAAAAAAAAAAAAAAGGAAGCTTTTTCCAAGATAAGATTAAAGTTGTCAATGAAAAACAAACAGACTGCCTGCAGCCTCATGTGAAGTGGGAGCAACCGACTAAAATGTCCCAAGCCTCAGTCTCAGGCCGACGTGTGGATAAGGCCTGAGATTACAAAGGACTTCCAAAGTTTTTAAACGTGTGACTGTGGCTTGGTGGCAATAATTACACAAGTACAGATGACAAGATTAAGTACATAGGGTATGGCTGATTGCTGAGAAAGCACAGAATCTGCTGAAAACATCTGCAGTTGAAGAGCCTGGTGGGCAATGGGTCACTACAACTTTTGATTAGCTATATCTTCATGTAATCTCTAATCATCAGAGAGGAAGGAATCTGTACTTGAGGCAAAATACAATATTTCATCTCAATTTTCAAAATAAAATCAATAAAAACATGATGAAGCCACAACAGCTAGTCTTGAGTTTAGTGGAAATCGTCCCACCTCTATGAGAAGTTCGTCATTACTTCTGCTCATGTAACAGTTCCATAATTAACAGGTTGACAGCAAACAAGCCTTGTCTCATTTCTGTTGATGGTTATTTTGGGAGACTGTGAGCAAATTAGAGACTATAGAGGCTTTGACTACAAAGTGCAGCATGCCATTTACAATACTCTGGTATTAACAGGATGCGATAAACAAGTGAACTGTCATGACACCAACCAAAATTCCAATAATCTGTAGCTACTGTAGCAGTCTATTGCTGCTTCTCTATGGGTCAAGACAGGCAATTGGTATCTGAATAGCTTTCAGGAACTATAGCTTATTAGTTTAAAAAGGGATCCACGTGGATCCACTTTGTCAGGCTGTGATACACTGTGCAAAAACCAATTCAAGTCCATTCTGGTGGCTTTTTGGGCCATCATCTTTTTGTCTCATATTTGATTACCACTTTTTGAGCAGCCATGGAAACTGGTCAAGGAGTAGCTTCTCTGTCTTCTAGTCCCACCTTTGCCTTCAGCCATCAGCTTTTGTTCTGGTCAACTGTTTATTTGTTTGTTTTTCCTGCCTTTGTTTGGACCGCAGATTTCCTGTGTAAACTCAAGGAAACTAGATCTCTTTGCAAAAAAAAAAAAAGAATTCCCCTTCCAAGGTGTTTGAATGCATCTTATTGTGATTTTTTCTCTCTCCATATGTTTGAATAATGTACCAGGAATAAGTGATTAAAAGATATCTCAAATTGAAGTTGAGGGGAATATCTGCATGCGATATGTTTATGGGGCACACAGTTTCCTTCTCTGTCTCTTATTCTCATGTATTCTAATATGTAAACATCCCAGTAGGTTGCAGGAAGTCATAACTTGCATCTCTGCAAAATAGTTTTGCATAAAATAGACAAAACATGAAAACGTGAGCCACTTGATTAAGACCGTGCTTACACTACAGCAAATCCTCTCCTCAGCCATTCTTGCAGCCGCACAACAACTATAATGCTGTTGACTTGTGGTCGCTCTAAATAAAAACTTGTACTTTTTCAGAAACTTAATTACTGTAATTTCAGACCAAAAATCAAATAAATCTAGTTTTATGCTCTTGAAAGTATGCCACTGTTTACTGCTCATCCAAATGCATTTACCCCTCAAAAAAACTATGCATGCAAGTGGGATTCACTGCAGCCAAACACAGAATTCCTGCAAGCATATAGAGCTGGATCTGTGGCTTGACTTTGCGACATGTTCAGTTATTATTTGTCCACTGAACTGAAAGTAAAGAAAAACAAAATATAAGTGGCTGCATATTAACAACATGAACAGTATGAAAGATCTGAGGGCTTCAGTTTCTTTAGTTCCTAAACTTGCTGATCCTATCGACACATGAACTGCTCCCCCATCACCCAAAAAAGGTTTTACATTACGAAAAAGTCAAATGTCACATCATCTGAGATAGTACCTGGAAAGTATGACAGGCATCTTTATGATCCACTTAATAAAGTAATGCTCCCTAAAGTGTTTTGTTTTAATTTTTTTTTTTACAACACCACCATAAATATCTCATTATCCTCTAAATGCAAAGAGATATGTGACTAAAACAGGCTTGAACATTCAGGTCTAGCCAGTCCAACATTTTTGAACTCAGGCAAAAAGGCACTTCAAAAACAATTAGTTGGCTGAAATTCTATCGATCGGCTCTGGTGCCGGGCTAACAGTGGAAACATGCACGCTGTCTTCCTCTCACGTGTTGTGCTGTAACTTGTGCTTTCTTGCTATTTTTTCCTTCGCTTTTTGGCCTATTCTGTCCTATTTTCAAATCAGTTTTAAATGAGGGAGGAAAATATGGACCAGAAATAGATCAAATATCTCTAAATACATCTAAAACTCTTAAAATGAGGACTGATGCTAAAATGAGACACATCACAAATAAAGATAAGAAAGAAAAGTATTTTAAGGTTTCTTTTTTATAGGGACTAATTGGCTAGAGTGAGATCATGTGATACCTCATTTAGATAAGCTTCAATCTATAATATGAAAACACATGCAGCTCTGATGGACAGACAAGCGACTGTGGAAAAGGGTGACATGAGTGTGATCCACTTGAGCTCACTGTGTTGTGAGAAGAAAGGTTGACCCGCTTTGAGCTCCCTAAACCTGTTCTTACTTTAGATGCTGTCAGACTGTCAGAGCTACGTGCTGGTCACTGGGCCATAACCCTGGTTAGCCAAATATATAGTGTCAATTTGAATAAGAGCATGAGCCATAAAGGTGATAGGGCATGGAATTAAATTGATACAAGCTGTTGCATTTGTGTGTCATGTTTCCAAAGCCTCTCTAAAATATGAGCACTTTTAAGATTCAAATCTTTTTTAGGACTCATCAGTTAAAACCATGTCATAGTTCATGCATTAACATGTGTGAAACATAAGTATACTTAAAATTATTATTACAGTGATCAACCTTTTTGCATAACTTTGAGCAGCACAAGCCTGAATTATCCACCCATGCACCTGTGCATGGGTGGATGGCTAAGCAACAGCTTTTTGGGGTTATTAGGCTGATAGACTTACCTTCCATAAGTCTTTGTGGCGAGAAGGACAAACGAGTTTGTATCTACGCCAACTTAAAGCTTGTACTTTTGAGTTGACTTACTTAATCATGTGCAGCACAGAAGTAGAGAAATTTAAAGGTGAGCTTTCTTGATTACTTAAAATAAAGACCAAAGTAAACTTTAGGTAAAGTCGACAAATCTTATTCAGTAGGTTTCACCCCCTAAACTAAGAGTTAAGGTAAGAGTTAAACTCCCAGGAGCATTTGTCCACCATGCTGGAGGGACTAGCCCGTCTCTGCTGGAATGGTGGGGGCTGCTCGTTTAAGCCAATAAGCAGCAAGCAACGCTAATGTCATTTTACTGTGACCGCTGAGAGGAGCACCACAGCGCACCGCGCGCCGCTGAAACGACTGGGATGTGGTGACAGAGAAGTCAAGACCAAGCTCTCTCAGCACTCCTCTCCAATGCATTCAGTATCTGGGGTTTAAGCTTATCGCTCTGCGCAGCTCTCGGTTCAGCTTTCCGGGACATCCTCTCTGGACTGTGCATCTAATACCAATGAGACGCAGCTTTTCTAACTTCGGGAATATTGGTTCTGGATACTTGGTTCACTGCGACTGAGCAATTTTGGAGGTGAGCAGGCTAAGTCATTTAGAGCGTTTAACTCAGGTCTACCTAGTTTGTAAACAATCCCACCCACTCTGCTTGTTTTTTGTTTTGTTTTTTGTTTTTTATGATGGCTGTGTTATTTTTGCAGTTTTACGCTAATTACTCTAAATGCATCGGTGGAAAAGCTGACGATACTTTAATTTCAAACAAACAAACAAAAACTCCAACAACTTTTAAGCATTTGTGAAACACACGCACATACTCTGCAGAGACCATATGCCACTAGTGTCATCCACATAAAGTCAGCAAACCTGTTTTAATTTCCCTGCGCAGTTTTGGGGGCTTTTACGCAGCGACATCTCCAAAGAGACACGTTTCACTTTCCCTGCGCGTACAGTCACAGTAACCTCGTTTCTCTGACGCTGAAAAAACTTGACCAGAGACACTCGGACGTGGCGTCCCTGGGGCCTCCAGATGTATAGATTCAGCTGTCGCCTGTCACTTCGGTGACAACTGGTCGGCGCACCGTGACCGCTGCCTGTCCGCCGCCACAGGCTTCGCATAGCTGTCACGACTGTTGTTGAGTGAACCAGAACTTAGTCACACATGAGAAGTTAGTCCCACTTTTTTTTAAACTCCCCCCTCTTCTTTACCATGATGTATGAGGTGAGAACGTCAACATTTAGGGTATTTTAACTGTATTTAAATAGCTACATGAAAACATCTGGAAACTTATTCTTGATAGCTTGTTTTGATCTGATATACTTTGTTTTGCTCTGTGTGGGTTTAAAACAGAGCCTAAAATATCTATTTAAAAAAGCTTGAACTTAAAAAAGGGGGAAAGGACTCTAACCTTCTTGAGTGAATTCATCACTCCTAATGGACCTCTCACAGAGCTAAACATGCCATAAAGCCCTTCCTTTGGAGAAAAATGACACACCCTCAAGTTTCACATATTTCCATCCTCAGCTGTGATACAAAGAGCTAAACCTACGAGACACAGGAGAGCACATACTGTTTATATTTAACCAAGGCTGCCTGAAATAATAATTTGTCCTCAATGGACCAGGGGGGGAAGCCATTAAACCCTGAGCGTGTCTTTTTGAGGAGACCCACTTTCGACTAAGTGTAAAAGCAAGACTCAAACCTGAAATCTGTCACTGAGCACAGTGGATGAAAACAAAGCACTGCTGAGCTCGGGGCAGTTAGCCATGAAGAGCTAGGTGGAAGAGAGTGGTGTGGTCTTTATTTGGACACTAAATTGTTGGTTTGTGGACGTGATTTGAGACGTTGCATGGCAATTTAAGTAAGACTGGATTTAAAAGAATGGAGCACTTTGACAACACAAAGCAGGTATGTTTACTCCAGACTCTGGACAGTATCATCACAGTATGATTTCCAAGGTCATTTCCTGCTATAATTGTACCAGAAACTGTTTTCAGATATAACCCCACCCAGCCATTATTACCGCACTTTAAATATTTTTTTTCGCTCGCCAGTCCAGAAAAACATCAAACAAAGAAGTAGTTTGAGAGAGAACAGATATGAGCAGGAATAGAAACGGCAGCACAGAGAGTTAAGGTGGTGGTGTCACCTAGTGGCCAGATTGCAGGTTGACGGCTTCACTGCCTTGGAGTCAGGAGTTAACCAAATAAGGCAAACAATCTTTTGAATTTTCATATAAATAAAAGTTTATTAGCACTTTAGTGCTCAGCACATAACAAAGACATATCAGTGTCACCACAGCCCATGTTTAAAGAAATTCAGGATCCAGTAGCTAATACATATTTTCATACTTTCAAATTAATGATTTACATTGTATTTCACTGCACATGGTACTTAATGTGTCAAATAATGCTGCATAGCCACTAAAATCTCTTACTTTACCGTACTGCAGGCATCAGTGTTTACTTGATTGAGAATGAAAAGGGGGCATGTGAGCTTATACTTTGAATGATCTGCTAAAGGTAAGAAGTCTCTCAGAATATTAGGTTTATTTATGGACTAAATGATTTACAAAGTGGTGCTTTTGGACCAGCACCACATGCCACACCATGCTTGTTCACGTCTCATTTGCAAAGCCTCGAGGTGCTTCAAAGATGCCATTAATAGAATCAGAAGACTTTTAAAGTGCTTTGTGCAGGATTGTGTGTGAACATAAGGGGTGGGGGGTGTAGTTGGCCTCATCATCATTTTTGGACTCAGGAATGGGAACAGATTTGATCCTTCACAGCAAGCTTGATGTTTATGTGCACTTGCTTCATAACAGTAGATTATGTTGATGGTTTATTTTAGTACTACAATGCATTGCTAAGAAAAGGTGATGGTTTTTAGGAGAGAGAGAGATTGTAAGTAGGTGTTGGAGAGCGCTAGAGTCTGCAGAGCTAAGTGCGAAGGGGCAGAATTTAAGCCCTGGTGCCCATATGTATACGTTTCCAAATGTTGATTTAAAAGCCCAGCACTAGTGAAATTTACACAGAGGCCTGTTTGTGCGAAGCTAGAATGAATCACCTTTGCGTCCGCGTAAATTGCCTGCAAGCCAAACACTCTGGCAGCCTTTTATCCCCCAGACGTGGTCCAGCTCACCGCAGCGGGGCTAAAAGCAGAGCAGGACAGGGGCCGTGTGTTGTGAGGATCTGTCAGAGGAGGCCAGTCTTTCACGGCTCTGGATGGGGAGATGTGGCACTGGAGTCGAGTTGCCATAGACAAACTCCAGAGAGCAGAGTCCACTGACTGTAAACTGTTTGTGGTAGGTTGGCAGGAGATTGGAAGAAATACGGCTTGTTTAAACGCCGGTGGTCCCTGAAGCTGTGGTCACTGGGCCTGGCTGAATTGGACGGCGGCTCAGATGGTCAAGTTTAGGGCCCTGTGACAGTGTGATTGTGGTGTTTGGGATAACTATTGTGGATCCTGCTTCCTGCAGGACAGAATATAACTTTGTGCTTGCTATACGGTACAGTTCCCCTTGTGTAATTTTCAAACGGCATCATGTATAAGAGTGGGAAATGTGCCCGAAGCGGTGGCGCACATTGGATCCACATGTTAAGCATTATTCTAAAGTGATTAGAGGTAGTTAGTGATTTAGCGCTTCCAGGCACAACTCTGTTTATTGGGAGCTGCAGGATGATGTTAGAGGAAAACGGGTTTGGCTTGCAGACAGGAGTTTAATGCCCCAGCAGATCTTTTGCAACCACACAGCATAATTGTGCGACCAACCATCAGACCACCAAGATGATGAAAGTCATACTCCACACACACACACGTTTCTTTATCGTCACCATGTATAGGCATGATGATCGGCTTTGGATGTATACTGCATGATAATCATGGTGCATTGCTAAGAAGCTGATTATCATCAACATGCCTGAAGGTGGAATAACAGATGTAAAGATACCAAATGTCAGCAACTTTTGTGGCTCTGGAAATTCATCTGCGCCAGACGGGAATGCTTGCAGAATGGTGTGATTTCTCTTTGTCCTCCACATCTATAGGGATCCATCCAAGCAATCAAAGCATCGCAGGACTAGAAGCAAAAGAAAACATATTACGCAGAGTTGTCATTAAAAAGCCCAGCTCACTTCCCCAGCACACAACGGGGGATTCAGTTAAAGCTTTCCGGACCCCCGGCTGAAAATATGCAAAACACACTCCCCCAACTCAGCCCCTTCCTGTGGCTCTTGTTCCTCCTGTTGGCATTGTCACAGGGGTGTAGTCAGTGAGCGTGGATGATATGGAAAAGGTCAGCAGGGTTTAAAAATGGACGCTGCAGGGCTGGGCAAGAGATTTTTCAGCTGACAACAAAGGTATTTCCGGGGAATTCCCCCCCCCCAGAAAGGTTACAGTAGGGACAATCTGCCAGAATATTCCTCTAAGAAGGTTTAGTTAATAAAAGTTGCCATATTTTCCTCTACCAGTAATTAGGTTGGAAAATAAATGCATGCAGAGTGATGTATTCCCAAATTGCATAGTGCTGAAGTTGACTATAATAACTCATTTAAAACATTTCTTACAATATATCATACAAAGATTAAAAGGGACAAAAAGCAGTATGTCAATGCACTACCCCATTCCAGCTTTAGGCCTGTTTCACTTAAAGTTTTACATATTTTTGGCTTCAAAGCCGATCGTCCATTTACTGTAGTTTCAAGCAACACTATACTTCAGGGTGTCAGGGTTAGGGATATACATGGTAGCCAATTCCTAATCAAAGCCAATACTAAATGTTTAATAACTGAAAGTTCTTTGTCAAATAAACATGTAAGGTTTGAATATGGTAGAAACCCAATTACATTACTATGCTAGATTCAATGCACCATACAATATTTGATTGAAATATAAGTGGATTTGAGGTTGGGTACAACATAAGATACATGTGTCACAGCAATCAATACTTGCAAGGGCAAAAGGTCACCTAATGTATAGGCCAATCAAGTGCAACATTAAACCTGCCCAATATTGTGTATAAATCTTCCCCTAGCAAGCAAACATGTCTTGGCTTGGATGCAAGACCTCTGGGTGGGGGACCTGTGCTGTATGGCAGTGGAAGCTTTGGGTCTTATGTGTTGCAGGGGTGGATCCTCTAAGCTATTTCTGGCATATCCCTCGCATTGTGCCATTGAAACAATGTGCAATTAGTGTCGATGTAGCATGCGTATAGAATCCAGGACCCATAATTTCTCTGCAGAACATGCAGACAATGCTGATATTAATACTCTGATTAATTTTTGTTCAGTAAGAACTGAATTCAGTTGAAACATTGTATTAAAATGAAGAAAAAGATCCAGTATAGTTAAGCTGTGTAGCTTTAAGGGAGAAAAAAATGCCATATTCAAAGTTAAATCAAACTTCAAGTTGTTTAGCCAGACATTGTAACCAAAACCACATTTATTTTATATTTGTTAAAGAGTAAGAGCAAGAATTGCCTGATGTACTCATCATCCTCTTTATTTTGAGTCTGACCGCCATCTGACAGCTGTCATTTACGAAAATTCGATTTATGCATAATATGTGCTACCCGTATAATTTTCAGTAATCTGTTCACACTGAGAAAATGCATCACAGTAAAGGTGAGTAAATGTGGGTAACATACAAATGGGTTAATATTGGCAAAGGCCAGCTGAGGACATGTGTTGCAGAGGAGCAGCCTGAGGCCCACAGTGGCTTCACCGAGCTGACGCAGAAACATTTCATTTCATTTGGCCACAACAACCCGATGGCAGCTCCTAGTGAGAGGCCAGTTCAAAGAGCCGGGTTTTTGTTTGCTGTGCTCACGCTGTCTTCCTGTTAGGGGCTGGGCTCCCAAAGAAAACAGAAAGCAGGGGCTCAGCAGATGTGCGCATCTTTGTATGTGACCTGTTTGTACAGAAGCACACTTCAGAGAGCTCGTTGGACATTTTTGGATCTGGGAAAGAAACATAACAGATATTATTAAACTCCTTCACGTGTTCCATCGCTGAAGATGGCTTGGTGTCATTAGTGACCTCAGTATTAGCAGCTCCAAAAATAACACGCTGATGCTGACAGTAACAGACACATTACATGCAAGGTTTCTAGGAATGGGCTTTGCCCTGGAGGATTGGGATCTGTAATTTTGAGGGTGATAATGCAGCCAGTTGCGTCCCTTTTTCCATTCCACACATTTTGCCAACACACACACACACACTCACACACATACACACACACACACAAGCTGATCCCAGCCACTAATGTCTGGTCTGTATAGCTGATAAACTGACCGAGGCTCCCAGAGGGCTTCAGATTGGACCTCTCCATGTTTACAGTGAAACATTCACATGCTCCAACTCATTTGTTGGTAAGCTGGACAGGTCATTAACTACTGAAAAGTTATACCTGCTCTAATACTCTAACAACTAATTCAAACCACAGATGTCAGCCTGACCCTAAAGACATGGCGACCAAAAATGGGTGTAAAGAATAAGAATTGATTTAATTCAGGGATTTAATCAGTGAGAGTCTTTTTATAATGGAAAGCAACCAATGGCAATTTTGTCAATGGGTCATGATGCACCAGCAAAATATCAGCCACTATCCTCAACACCGCTTCACACTTGACATAGACATTACAGCACATTTCTATAAAGAAGTAGTCGATTCCTGACTCACATTAAGAGGAAAATAGAAATGTAAAAAGCACATATTGAGATGGTATAATTAAGGTTTTATGATTCTTAAAAATTAGAGTATTGGTTTGGGACCAGTATACAGTAACAGCAGAAAGCTTAACCTGGAAAGAAGTCTTTAAAAGTTTCATGCTCATTGTTTCTCTCTCCTCCTTTTCTGCCTCAAAAATGCAATTTTCTTGTCTCGTAGACTGAAAAAGATCCGTATAGTCGAGTGATCATCTTTATGGAAAAGAGCATCTTTCATGCTTTAAGACAGTGTATGTATAGAAAGCCGGTATAGATTATGTCAACAAGCAAGATCAGGTAGAAACACGATGATCAATAATGCACAACAAGAGGAATACTAATAAAAGCAGCCCAATGTGGCAAACACATGCAAAGATACTCGTGTACAACTTTGCCTCATAGGATACAGGACCTCCAAACGTGTATAACCTCATGGTCTACTTCAGTTTTGCAACTACATTATACATGCTTAACTAACAAGCCAGTATGGGTCTTTCTGGACTGGATTTAACTTCAGCTGTACATTTTTTCCACCCCTCTTTTTTAATGTGAGTCACATGAGAAGGTGAAAGGGTCAACAACATCAGAGCAACAGGGAGCCTTACAGGGGAGATCATTGGGCCTCTCCTTTGCTCTTTCTGCTGTTTTACTACCACCTTAATGACTTAAATTGTGTCCAATTAAGCCGAGTTGGAAAGAAGCATCCCCGCTTGCAGTTGCAAGTTCCCTCTGTGCTGTGGCACTGGAGCATGTGTTTAATTAGAACGCTCTAAAAAGACTGTAACAGAGCGTTTCTTCAGGAATGTTAATCATTAGTGGGATCCTGACTGAGCAGCTCTTAACTGTTTCAGAGTATTGTTGGATTCCACGGTTTGCCTTTTGAAGCCAGGCTCAGGAAAATGCTTCCACGTGTGGGAGTTGTCAGCCACTTCTTCTTTGCTGGACCGCGTCGTCTCCTTATACACGAAAGTGCTTCATTTTAAAGTGTTGCCCGTGTTCATTCAGGTGACAGTTTGAACTGGTGGGAAGTTGGGAAGACAGGAAATAGTTCCATTTCCAGAGGAAGGATATACTATTGAACTTCGAGGAGAGTTAAGGAGAAAAGCCCATCAAGTGTGAGGGGCCGTGGTGCGTGCACGTGTGTTAGATTCTCTGAAAATTTGAGGTCATAAATTAAACCTTTTTGAAATTGGGTGCTGTTTTAAGAGGAGTAATTAAACCTTATCACGTGTCATATAATTTAACAGCTTTTAAGGTCACCAAGATCATATCAAAGCTCAGCTGAAGAAACAAGACGGTGTTAAAGCAGAGATTTTTTTGGCCGAACATGCTGGTTTGAGGTGTTAATAGGACTGTTTAGCTATTTTATGTATATACTCGTCACAGTTTGCCCATGGAGACCACACATGAGTGGCTTTGCCCTTTGCTGATCCACCGCTTTTGTTAGCACAAGTGTGTAGTCTAAGAGCAGCCCATTCATCCTTAGCCTGCTCTGTGTGTAGACAGCCACAGGCTTTTGTTGAGTTATAGCATCCTCAAATAAAGGGGCTTCCTCTCTTTAACAGCCCCAGGAGCTCTGTCGCTCCACTTTCCATTGTTCCCAATGAGGTCCGGCTTTTACAACTGTGTGAGAGGGTGTCAAATTGAGGGTGAAAAACAAGGCGTCCCGATCGTGCGCGTCTGCAACGTTTGGCAAAGCACTAACGATAAATCGAAGAAACAATGGGCTGATGCAGCATGCCGCGTGCTGCTTATTGCAACTTGAGAACGTGTTGCATTACATCATACATGACACAACACCAGTGTGGCAAATTGAATAAAGCAGAAATTAATGAGTAAAGAAATAGTGTTTGTTCATAGATTGGTTCCATGCAGCCAGGCCCATTCATAGATCATCTGTTTCATCACTATTATATTATTGGTTTTAGACAATAGCATTACAGTAATCTAATAAATAAAACCAGGTGGCCTCTATTATCGACATTTTTTAAGCATCGTTAACTTTTGTGTTTCTATTTGGTTGATGAGGAAATTAGAATTTCAGCTGAAGTGGAAATGTTCACATGTAGTTGTAGCTCATTAGCAATAGAGTCCAATAAATTTTTTCCAATTCAGCACCCTTGAGAAACACGGGATCTTATGGGGTCAAGTATCAAATGAGCAGATATTTCTCTTTAATTTTTACAAATGTCTCCTGTCAGAAACGAAGCTTAGATCTAAGCTTTGCCCTCAGCTGCCTCCAATGTGTCAGACTGAAACAGTAAAAAGGGGTTATGTGAGGGTTATAGGGCTAACAAGCCCACAGTCTGACCTGAGTTTGTCAGTGCCAATCTAGCTAAGTCAATATCAATGCGCTGACTGCTCCACCAGTTGACCTTTTCCTCCCTCTTTCAAGGCGTAAAAAGGATTGTTGTTACTGTAGGGTGATAGGCTTTTATTGGTCTTTATAACTGAAGCTTTTGTTGGGCCTGTGTCCTGCTAATACCCCTTGGCAAGTCATTTAAACCTTGAATGCCTACTTTTTATAAGGTGGCTCACACACTAGCGAGAGCAACTCTCAACAATAGTTCAGCAATAGCTGTGAGTTAGAGACTGACCTTCCATTTGCCTCCTTCGGTGGTAGTCCAAAACTTGACTAATACAAACAGTTAATAATGTTAATTTGTGCTAATTCCACTATAAGAATCACTAGTGGTAGATATAGCAATAATGCTTGACCAGATTCTTAGTTTTATGTGTTCCCTGCTTTGGGATTGTGTTAAGAATGCAGATTTATCACAGGTGATGGTTCTGATGGTCATCTTCCCTGTCCTGTCATTGTCAGGGCGTGCTAGTTCAGAACTACTTTGCCAGTAGCACAGGATGCTTTTTTTGTTTTGTTCTTCTTCTTTTACAGCAGTGAGAAGATACAGACCAGGTGTGAGATGCTGTTCAGGTCATTGTAAATATGACAGAGGAAAGGGCTGTAAATCCCTAGGGCCATAGATTTATGGGTCATCTGGTGTTCTCACAGGTCAAGGGTCGGGGATCCGTGACTTGTCCGACTTTATATTTTTCAGCTATCTGCGGCGAACCTTGAACTGTGCAGCCGGCTACTTCTAACTTTAGAGTGGTGTAATCATAAATCGATACTCGCCACTCTGCGCGTTCCTGGGTAGATGTCTTTGATGAGATGTCTGCACATTCATATCTGAGTTTCTCTCTTGTGGGAAATAAGCAGGTTATTAATTTCTGTATGTTGAGGAAATGAAAAACAATTCAGGTCTGGTGTTTTGCCCACACTAGAGGAACCATCTTAGCTTTGCATTTCATGAATCCTCCTTTTGGGGGACGGGGGTACATTGTGTTGTTCCTCCCCTAAAAGACTTGCTAATGGAGCATGGTGCTTAGGTCTTTGGATTAACACAAAGGCCTGAAGTTTGCTGTGAAAGGGCTCCTCTCCTCCCTGGCCTTGACTGCAACAATGGCTTTGTCCCAGTGCTCGACTGCAAGAGCACTGGCAGGGGTTAAATCCCGTACTTTATAAACAGAATATTTACAGATATAAGCTCCATTTTTTCCATTGAAATGACAGCCATCATTCACCACCCAAGCTGTGATATTCTGGCACATAATGGTGTAAAGTATGTAGGCGTGTGGAGGATGGAAAAAGTGCTACTCAGATGGTGTCCATCATGTGCTAGAAATGAGTTGTTAGCCTTTTTTTAATATATGATTAATTTTTTTAAACAACTTTTTTTTTAAAAGGCCAACTGAGTATTTCGCATGTAGACAATGATTCTCCGCTTGATTAAGTTCAATGCATTACATAAAACGTTTTCTATATTAATCCTCAAAGAAAAACACCATTCACAGAGTTAGGTCCCAACATTGCATCTCCTAAGAACAAACAGCTTCTAAAATGTTTAGAAAGAAAGAAATCTGACCAGTTTAATAGATTCCTTGCTTCCTAGTAAAATGCCTTACTGCTTTGTTTTACAGTCTAAGTGTTTTTATACTCGACAGTGAAACCTCTCTGATGAGGAAGAACTTGCAGTGCTCTGGAAGTTATGTCCACCGTAAACATGTCCTTTTGGGCAAAAGTAACACTTTGATATTGCAATTAAACAACCACAAAAGGATGCAAAAGGTGCAACTGTCCAGAGTTTGACCTGAACCAGCAACTTTTATTTTCTGAGGCAAGAGCAAGAGGATCACATTCTGGCATTCCAGCAGAGGTGAAGGAGAGGCAGAGGTCAACAGAGTCCTCTCCGGGGAGTTTCACTGCGTGGGTGGATCTGTACGTTTGGGCTTTATAGATATCTGTCATTTTAATTCCTTCTCATTTGTGATAACAGAGTAAACATTAGGGTAATGATTGTTTTCACTGACAATACATATTATATTGCTAATATATAATATCTTAATTTTGAGCAACTATTAAGACCAGTTAATTCTGTTTATCAAATAGTGACCTAATCGTTTCATCTCGGAGATAACTTTGGTTACATGTGTGTGTTTAGTTTAGACAGTGTGAGGCTTTGTGGTTGGAGTAACTTGCATGGAGGACTCGTTTTGATTCACAACCGGATGACTGGTCTCATACAGAAATGCTGACATCACATTCAGGTAGTAGAAAAAGTTATTGTGATGCTTGAAACCAATCTTTCTATAGAATTAAAATACATATATATATATCATTTGATCTAACAATAAGCCTATAATCAAAACTTTTGTTAGCAGACAGCTCTCTTTAACTTTACATGTAGGCACAAAGGAAATGTCAAACCACCAAATAAACCAAATCCTGACTCAACATTCACCGCCGTCCCCACATCTTTAAGCCGTTGATAGGGAAGAAGAAAGAAGAGCGTCATGTGAAAGCTGTTGTGGATACGGGGCGGTTAGCCTGGCAAAACAAGCTCTGCCATCACTGATGTGCTGCTTTAAAGCACGGTTTCTGCGAGCTCTACCAGCGATTCTCATTTGGGAGCGTGTGTTTGAAGTACGAGGGGGGGGGGGGCTGACTGAAGCAAGAGACGCCTCACTCTGCCATACCCAGCCATGACTCGCTGCCTCTGAGTTTAAGGGCCGGGCTGAGGTTAAGAGGGCCGGGTTGGAAGAAAGAGGAGGGGAGGAGGAGGAGGAGTGTTTGACAGAGAGGAGGGTGGGATGACCATCTGGTTGGGCTCCTCTGTGTACACGCACATGCACACACACACCTCGCTCACTCTCTGACTTTATACAGTCTTAGCTTTGATATGGGCTGTTACTGTGCTGACAGCTCCGGTAGAGAAGCCTGGCTGCTGCTGTCCTGGATTTAGAGTTTAGAGGAGCTTACATAGATATGGAGTGCAGAACAATTTAAGACTGGATATAGTGGCGACAAGATCCGTTTTCTCTATTCACGTCAGGAGAGTTGGCCTACACTGAGGTAAGACCTGCAGGAAAATGAATGAGATGTAAACCGGTTCCTCTGAGAGCTTTGCTTTGGTTGTAGTGAGGCTGAAAGAAAATGGAAAAGTTGCACCGTAACTCCTTGATTAAATGTATTTGAATGAATGTGTGGATGGCTTGATTGCAAATGCATGTTTCGCCTGTAAAACATGTAGCACATCCCAAATACAGGCAATTTCTGGTCTTTGTGGAAGTTGTCTCTTAGTTGTCTCAGACTTGATTTTAGGTCTCATGCACAAGTTAGTGCGTTTGAAGTCTGCTGCTGTGTGTTGAATCTTAGTTCATGCTGGCCAGCACAGTAGTGTATATCTCTGTGGGGATGTCACTCCCATCCATTTGGTCTTGAAAAAACACTCCCCGGCCACAAACAGAGGCCTCCATAAGCTGACCAAACTCCAACTCCTTATAGCGCCTTTGCACTGCGTAACTTATCCTCCCGTCGAGCTCTTTTTTCAGTAGCATTTTGACCTTGACTTTTTCTAATCTGACTGGTATCAAATTTTGTGTCGCTTTTCCAGGTTTTGATTTGATGATGCTGTGTAGTTTTATTCATTTTTGAATCATAAATACTACTCAATTACAAGTTCAGCTTTTTAAAATGTGATTTATTTATTTATTTTTTAGGCACGAGGCTTCTAGTTTAGCACAGGGGTGTAATTTTTCTAATGAATTTCATCTGGCCCAGAGGTTGGTTTTTTTGCTTCTGTTTTTGACACTACATTAACAGCCAAAGGCTGACAGGCAGTGATTTTTTAAATATTTGCGTGTGTGCACGGAGATAAATAATATGCTGCATATTTTTCAATCTTGTTGGACATGAAAAATAAACTGAGTTTGTCTGACTTCAAGCTTAAGTAAGCAGGGACAGTGAACAGAAATTCTTGTTTTTCTCTCCCAACTACAGCCTATCCTGCATTACCCAGCTAGCAGAAGCCAAGTTAAACAAGTAGGGCCAGCCTAAACTGACAGAGAACACTGTGTTGGGTTGTGTGCCTGTCCATCATCCACTTCCTAAAGAAATAGACAGTAATTCAGACCAGAAGTTGCTTATTTTTCCTGTGCACTCTCTCAAGGGCTGTTAATCCAAAGCTCCAGTGTCTGGATTTTTTTGGAGGGGGGGGACTATGGTTTAAGTGTTGTCGAACACTATTTAAAAATGTCACTGTTGATTGTATTTATTGGTCAGTCGCTGCATGGGGTCCTTCAAGAGTTCTGTATTCAACAAAGCGATAAATAATGCATTGCACTGTAGTTAGGCGCACCACTGCTGTCGGGCATTACAGTCAGACAGGACGTTCTTCAGGGTGAACTCAAATAAGTGGTTGTTTTGTTCTTTAATGAAACACGTCTGAACCCACACAGTCACCGAGGTCCTGTTATGCAGCATTTGTGGGAATGTAAGCTCCATTGTCCGCTTTCCGTAGAACACGGGGCTCTTCCCTCCTTCAGCAAGTCGTGGGATGTTCTCAAATCAGCAATCACTGAAAACATTTCAAAGCAAGCGCGTCTGTTAAAGATTTCCCTTTTTCTCCTGGCATGACTTAACTTCCCTCTCCTTTGTGGAAAAAGGACATTAACATTTTCATACATGTCAGTCACCCCATTTTATCCTCAGTCTAATAGCACCCCCACTACCTTCTGTGGGTAGATCAGTCAGATATGCAGACCTGCAGCTCCCAAAGCCATGTTAACAAGCACCTTTACAAAGGAGTGAGGGGCTGTTAAACATTCGGGACTGCAGGGGTCTGGCTAGTGTGGGAGGAGGGCAGGGCAGGGGCTTGGGGGGTGGGGTGGAGGGTGAAAAGGGAAGGGGGGCAGAGGGTTAAAACTAATCTCACAAACCATAGATCCCTTGTTAGAGGGAAAAACTATAAAAGCCAGCCTGAGTGATGAGTCAGTCAGTATGAGCACGGTGAAGTTAGCTGGCTCAGTGCTTCTGTCATTCAAAATGTTAAGGAATTGTTTCGGGTAAAGCCAGAGGAAATGAACTGCATGACAGATAAAGGAAAAATTAGCATGCAACCAGCTGTAGATGTATGAGAAACTTTTTTTCTTTTGCTTAACACAGAGCTGCGCGCACCCCGTATTGCTTTCGAGAGCCTGGCTAAAGTTCAAGCCTGACATTCCTGTGAGTCAGGTTTGGCTGTGTGAGACATCCTTGCAGATACCCAGCCAACATGCGAAAGCAAGAATTCCAGCAAATGTAGCACATGAGTGATTTTGTGCCTGATTAAAATGTGTGGCTCTGAAGTGAGCCTCTTGCCTCCTGACTGAACCTGCCTATAGTTAGCTATCTCCCACGTGAAACCCAAGCTGTTCTCAAACAAGGGCACATTTTTGTAGGTTATTTTGGTCTCATTTGCAAGTCAATAGATATGAATAGAACAACAGAGTGCCTTATTCCATCCCTAGCTCTCTCATCTGAAGACAGGTTATCTGGGTTCGAGGGCTTCGACTGTCATATGTGACAAGATAAAACGTGGCATCTTCAGGAAAAAAAATACTTGCAAAGAGATAAACAGACTCTTGATGGATAAAACCTTCAGTGACTTGACAAAGGCACCATTGTTTAGGGCATCAGAGGCATTTTAACGGGATATGTTATAAGCCAATCCGCCTGACCTGACACTTTATGGTACAAGGCAGCCTAAATTAACCCTCCCAAAAGCCCAGGAATCCTTTAACACCATTATCATCACACCTAACACTGATAGTCTATGACTGGATAAGCTTAAGGGGGGGGCTTGTCAGTCATTAGTAGTAGCGATGCCACAGTGGCTGACTTGTCTTTGAGAAAGATGAGCTGATATGAACAGCCAGTTGCTGCCTGAACCTGCATGTCTCGTGGATCTGTTAATCATCAGAGAAAGGTCTGACATGCTAATATATCAGTCTTCACTAACAGAGTGAATCGACACGAGCACCTGATTTTGACAAGGTATTGATAGTTATTTCTGTATTCTATGTATTTGTGTGTAGAGTAGCCTGTGTCTGCATATTCCTTACAGAGGTTAAGCAGCATAAAATTATATAAAAAGCTTGAAGTACCTGCTGGAATGACCTGGGTCTACTTTTTTACAACAGAGAGCAACGTTTTTCAAAGAGATTCTGATCATCTTTTGTACTATGACGAAACATTTCTGTCGTGATGGGAGTGGTCTCTTCTGCGATGACAGTGCCTCCAGCCTCGGGGCAGGACGGATCATTGAGTGGTTTGATCGACTATAAAAATGATATGGCTTTTGAGGTCAGCCAGCACCTATGGGAAATTTGAATTGTTAGACGGTGCTCTTTTACATCATCATCAAAACAAACAAAATATCTTGGAAAGACTGCTTTTCCATCCATCCGTTAGAGTTCCAAAGTCTCCCAGAATCAGTCTCAAACCTGTTGTGGTGGCACTGGTGGTCGGTCTATTTATCATTTGAGCAGAAAGCAGATTTTAAGGCCCCTATGCTGTCATCTCTATGTTCAAAGGCTTGCCCTCGAGTGTATTTGGTTTTCTCAGCTGTCTCTCTGTGGCTCTCTGTACCTTTGCTGTCCATAGGGGTTCAAGGCTTGGGTAGGGGGGAAGTGGTGCAAGGGCCAGGCTGCTGGATGCTGGCTGGGCTCCCATTTGATCTCAGTTAGAGCTCTTGGCTAGTGAGAAATTACCACAACTGCACACGCATTCATTATGACTGTGTTTTCGTGGTCCTAAATACTTACAGGAGTCCAGGAAATAAAGTTATGGGATGACTGGAGAGGGATGAATAAAGATCAGGGCAGATGGGGTTGCCTAATGATTATTCCAAAACCTGGTTTGCTTGGAATTTGCATGTCAAATAATCACTTTAAAGTTACTCTGGACATCCCTCCCTCCCTCCCTCCTTCCGTCCGGGTATATTCTGAACATTAAAGACAAATTAATAAATAAATTAAGTGATTTTATTTATTCGCTATTTCTTTAATTTTATCCAGCTTTGCACAGATTTAGTTTGTTTCTGCCTCATCACAACAGTCACGTCTGCAAAAGTTAGGATTTTCTGTAAGACATTAGTAACTGCAGACGCCACATATATAGAGGTCAGTACAGTTCGAGTCTTTTATCTCCCTGCTCTGTTTGTTGCCTCAGGTTATAGTGTCAGTATCAGTTAGTCCTATCCATCCATGTCAGCCTCTATTCATCTGCATTCATCCAGCTGCTTCACCTGTCTGGCACTGCGCTCCCTGTCCATCTAAAAGATGAAAGAACGATCAGGCGCTCACTGTTTGTTTTCCAACCTGCTGCAATCCAAAGAAAAAGAAGAGATGAAGGGAGAGAGCAGGCTTGTGGACGCTTCCCATATGGTGGCCTCGTCTTAAAGCCAGGCTTGTGTTTATACAGACCTCGGGCTCAACTGATCAAGCTAGGATCAAATCCCATGTGTTGAACTCCACCCCCCTCCCTTGGGGCATAGCATCATCAGCTTCTCAGTAAAGTAAAAGGATGACTCATACAGACATAAACCTAACAAATTATTTTAAACCTGCAGAAGATTAATAAGAAATGGTCACAGTTATAAGCAACTTCAAATAGTTTATACTTCTGAATAGTTTGTTATTGTCACTATAATGAGATAGAACATCACCTCATGAAGCTTTGGGAATTTCTGCACCCCCAAAAACCACATGAGGAAGGCACGTGTTTAACTGCTACCATAATAGCGGTGAAAGGATGGAGTTGTCTTTATGAGTGCCTTTATGTAGTAGACTCATCACTAAAAGTAAACCAAAAAAGCTTGCTTAAATACCATTATGGGTTTTTGAGGGGTGCTGTGAGCCTCATGAAAGAGGTGGCAATGGTGTGACTCAGCAAGCGGTTAACAATCAGCGGAATAGCACTGACATGAGAGAGCTGGATTAAGATGTGAGGACGTAGGAACTGATGTCATGGCTTGATGACAAACATTTCTATTTTGTTTTCTTTTATATTTCTATCCTCTTCCCCCTTCTGTCCTCTCTCAAATCCCGGTACTTCCCATCTTCCTATCCTTTCATCTCACCTGTCTAGTAAAAAGAGAGCCCGATGAGCCTGGTGAGTGCAGCGGGGCTGGTGGCTGGCTTCCAGGGTGGGGCACGCAAGCGAGATTTCATGATGGAGCAGAAAATCAGTAAACTGACATCTGGCTTCCAGCGGAGCTCAACCTCTGATGACGACTCAGGCTGTGCACTGGAGGAGTATGCGTGGGTGCCACCTGGCCTGAGACCTGAACAGGTAAGCACAATGTGGCTTACAAATGCACCAGTTCAAGACGCTCTGAGCTAAGATTAATCAAGCCTGCTCCGTTTGGATACCGGGACACTGTTCTCTATAACTGTGGTATCAATTTCATTGGTTCGCAAATCATTTCCTCCCTAAATCAACACCACGAATAATGGTGTATCCTCCAGACAGCGAATAAAAACAGCCCTGACCTGATTTTAACTCCCTTATAGCCCATTTGCCTGGCCCAGATAAACGCTATTCACTGTGTGTTATACTGAATAACACACCAAGTCTCTGGAAAATGGCACCTATGGGAAGGACAACATATTTCATTAAGCTTCCTTGTTCTCACTGCTTGTGGCAGATTTCTCAGACTCTATGAGGTTGCCACTAAAGGGCAGCATGAGTATACCGCAGAGTTAGAAGCAGGACTTAGTGGGTCGAGCTAGGAATCGGAGTCTTCGCCTCCACAACCACAGGCAGAGCTGTTAGCCGTGTCCGTTGAGCAGTCGGTGAGATATGGCACTTTCCCAGATCCTCAGAATTTTTAAACTCTGCTCTCACCACTGCTTGGTGTTCTTTTCTCTCTCTCTCACTCAGTCTGTAGCCGTCCCATTGCCCTTGATCAACAACACACATGGAAGCAATGAGTGGGTGATGGGCAAGAAGGGAAGCGAATGCAGCAAAAGCCTTAACATGCAGGGTCTCTTGTTTTAGGAACCACATAGATCAACTGTAATGCCTTTACTGCTGCCAATTCCCTAAATGGGCTATGTATTACAGGTCACTACTACAGGGTTGAAACACCTAGAGCTTGGGTGCTTGCTAGCTGTTCCTCGGGCCTAGTGAGCTGGATAAGGGGTCGTAGCAGCATCGTGATGTGCATAATTTATGATGGTAGAGGTGGTTGTTGGGGTCTGAGGGTGATTGTCAGGGTAAATTGCTGTGCTGTTACCCCTCCTCTAGACAGTCAAAGCTGCTGGAAGTCCCCTAACACACAGGACTACGGCATCCCATCTCTTTATCTAGCTAACTGTGATGGGCCCTCCCTCATAAAGTTTAGTCTTTAGCAGTCAGCCCCAAGGGTCAGGGTGCTACAATTACAGCCTGCTTTGTCCTGTCCCTGTAGAGACAACCATATCACTGAAAAATATAACCCTTAAACTGATTTGACCTGTTGACCTGTCTTGGCTTGTTCAGCACAGATTTATGTAGACGATGATTCCTGCGTTTTTCATCGTCAAAGAGGGTCACTGCTGTGTGTTGCACTTTTGAATTAAAGCTGATTTGGGGATTAGGGAAAAGTCTTTGATTCCACAAAGTCATTCTTCCATACATTTTACATAGCGCTATCCCAGAATGTGTCTCATCACAAATTAATGTGCTTGTTCTCTAGTTTCTTGGAAAAGAATTTGTGTTAATATTGGCATATTGAATCCGAGGCAATAATGATAATATATGGCTGCAATAAGACGGGTGAAAATTTGGGTTTAAAATTACTTTTGGGGCGGACCAAAACCAACTCTCTGCTCCTGCAAATAATAATTCTGAGCCATTGCTCAGTTGTTATATTAGTTGGAATGCATTTAGTTGTCCAACCCTAACCCTTTTTATTCAACCAAAAACATCATGTGTTTAACCTAATATTTCCCCCAGGTCCAGCTATATTTTTCGTGTCTGCCTGAGGACAAGATCCCATATGTCAACAGCCCAGGAGAGAAGTTCAGAATCAAGCAGCTCCTCTACCAACTCCCACCACATGATAATGAGGTGAGAATTTTTGGTGCCTGTGTGTGCAAATGCATGTCTCGTAAAAATTCAGCCCTCACATTTCCACCAAAATTGCAGCAAAAACAAAAAAACACTTGTGTTTGAGTAGCTGCATTTGATGCTGCTCACTCATCCTGCAGTGCTAAAGCCTCACCATCTCCATTGCTATCCCACTAATGTGCGCCCATGTCTCCATTGACATCACACTGGGGGATTTTTGTTCCGCAAGCTTGTAGACGTCCAGAGTGGGTACAATGTTACTTTTGACTTGATAATTTTATGATGTTTGCCGTGAGCCCCCACCAGCAGGATTCCTGCCATAGCAGTGGTTTTTATGAGGACCGCTCAGCGAGAGAGAGAGTGAGAGGGAGGCTGGTTGAAAGAGGCTTTATGTGATGCCACCACTGCAGTGGCACCACAGTTCGCCTCGGCTGTCTGTCTTCCTTTGTTGCCCACTGTCTTGATTACACTCTAAACACAGGCCTTGTTTGTGTAAACGTCTGCTTTCCCCCTTGTTAAGGACTGTTGTAAAAAAACAAAAAAAAACAGGTTCTCAATCGGGGACTGTGGGTGGAGATATGTTGGGTGGTGTAGGAAGGGAAAGCTGGGGTCAAGAGTTCCTTTTGTTCAAACTGCTCTGATAAGCACTTCGCCCTCAATCCAAAAAGGTCACTTATATATACTATTCTCAGTAGTAGATTTTCAGGAAGCATTAATCATCCCAATTCTTATATCTATATCTATATATAGATATAAAGTTCTTTTATTGGTTTTTAAATGTCTTAATGGTCTTGGGCCTTCTTATCTCTCAGATCTGCTTTTAACTTTACGAACCCTCGCGGACCCTGAGGTCCTCTGGTGCTGGCCTTTTAATTGTCCCTAAAGTCAGGACACATACTCACGGAGAGGCAGCTTTTCAGTGGTATGGTCCTCGTCTGTGGAACAGCCTGCCGGAGGAGCTCAGGGCCGCAGAGAACGTACATGTTTTTAAGAACAGGCTCAAGACCCACCTTTTTAATTTAGCTTTTACTTAGCGTTTATTTATTTTATGCTTATTTATTCTATCCTGTTATTCTATTATTAATTTAGACTTTACCTAATATTTATTGATTTTATTCTTATTCATTTTTTTAATCTTCTTACTCTATTTATATTTATATTGTATCCTGTTCTTATTTATTTTATCATTTTACCCTGTATATATCCGTATTTGCTCATATCTCCAGTGTTTCCTCAGAGGGCGCTCTCTGCACCGGGGCTGTGATCGACTGTGGCTGCTGGGTCTCTGGGGGTCCTCTCAGCCTGGCTGGGGGGCTCCTTTGCCTCCCTCCTGCTGTGTGCCCAGCCTGGAGGCTGCGGTCTGTGACCGGCTCCCGGTGCAGACGGCTCCCTGTTATAGTGTTTCCTCACTTGGCTCATGCGAGCCAGCCCAATTTTTACTCTTTAAGTGTGCGCGTGTGTGTATGTGTGTGTGGGTGGGGGTGGGGGGATATATGTGTATTGAGAGTGTGGGGAGTGAGTTGGAGGGTGGGGTGGGCTGCTTTTAACTATGTAAAGCACTTTGTGCTACATTTTCTTTGTATGAAAAGTGCTTTATAAATAAAGATTGATTGATTGATTGATTGATTGATTGATTGATTGATTGATTGATTGATTGATATGTGTGTATTCACATCATTTATGTTAATGAGAGTGTGGGGAGTGAGTTGGAGGGTGGGGTGGGCTGCTTTTAACTATGTAAAGCACTTTGTGCTACTTTTTTTTTTGTATGAAAAGTGCTTTATAAATAAAGATTGATTGATTGATTGATTGATTGATAAAAGCCTGTGGTTGTGAAACTAGCCATCATATTCCTAACCAATTCCCTTCTTTCCCAGGTGCGTTATTGCCAGTCCCTGAGTGAGGAGGAGAAGAAGGAGCTGCACATGTTCAGTGTTCAGAGGAAGAAGGAAGCATTGGGGAGGGGCACAGTAAAACTGCTGCCTCGCAATTTTCTGAACAGCATTTGTGATCATGTACGTTGCATGCAGCCTATGTATTGTTTATAACACGATGATGACTGCGAAATAGACAGTAGTCTAGAGTTTTTGTGGAACTAAGGATATAAACAGTATTCTTATATAAAAATAATTATGCGTGAAGGGTATTAAACAAGGGTTTGCTACGTTTCCTATTTGCATCTCATTTTTGGCTATTTAGCTAATCTAGATCAGAAAGAAAGCTGGAAACGAGAGAAATGCTGTCGTGGACTAAAAAGTGTTTGCTGTCTGGGCTGGAAAGGCTCAGTATAAAGTTCTTTTTTTTAAACAATAACCAGTGAGCAGCCAAGTGGGTGCCCATAAACTGATGAATCTCTGAGACTGCTGTTTTTCCTTTTCTTTCTCCTTTTAAATGACCTCTACCACCCACTCCTGTTCTTGTCAGTCAGAAGGACAGATATAAAATATGTTCTGCTAATCTGAGAACAACCTAGTGGGATTCCAGGTGCTGATGGAAGGCATGTTTTTTTGTAGCCAGACTCAGACTTTGTGTGAAGCTAAATCCATGCCCATGTAGGACTCAAACATTATTACAAAAGTATGACAATTGTTCAGTCTTAATGTGACTTGTGTTGTTTTTAAAAGTTGACAATTAGCCCTTTCAATTACAGTGCGGCGAAAACATCAACGGTGGAGAAATGGCCGTGTTTGCTTCAAGGGCGAGCGCTGGGCTGTGCTGGCACCCATCCTGCTTTGTCTGCTCCACATGTAGGGAACTCCTCGTGGATTTGATCTACTTCTACCACGATGGAAAGATCCACTGTGGGAGGCACCATGCTGAGCTGCTGAAACCACGATGCTCAGCCTGTGATGAGGTAGTACTAAGGAGAAAAAAACAGTGTTGCAAAGATAGATATTGCATCTGAAGCTTCTAAAGGTTGATGGCCATTTTGTCTCAACTAATGCACATCTTTGTCCACAGATTATCTTTGCTGATGAGTGTACTGAGGCGGAGGGGCGCCACTGGCACATGAAACACTTCTCCTGTTTTGAATGTGAGACAATTCTCGGAGGTCAGCGTTATATCATGAAGGACGGCAGACCGTACTGTTGTGGCTGCTTTGAGTCTCTCTATGCAGAGTACTGTGAGGCTTGTGGAGAACACATTGGTAAGACAGTGATCTTCTGGAGTTAAAATACTATTTCAAGCAACAGAGAAATGTTAACTTGCTCTCCCCCTTTAACAGGTGTTGATCATGCTCAGATGACCTATGATGGGCTCCACTGGCATGCCACTGAGAGCTGCTTTAGCTGTGCCCACTGTAAGACCTCGCTACTGGGTAGTCCTTTTCTGCCATACCAGGGTCGTATTTACTGCTCCAAAGCCTGCAGTCTCGGGGAAGATGTGCATGCTTCCGATTCCTCTGACTCTGCCTTCCAGTCGGCGCGCTCACGTGAATCCCGCCGGAGTGTGCGCATTGGCAAAAGCAGTCGTTCAGCTGACCAGTGCCGGCAGTCACTCCTGTTCTCACCCTCTGTCAACTATAAGTTCCCTGGCTTGAGTGGGAATGCTGATGACACCCTGACCAACAAGCTTGCCCATATGAACTTATCAGATGAACACTTCTGGAGAGGCCGCGGTGATGAGACTGAGGCACCCGACGACCAGGAGGAAGAGTGGGCTGAGCACGAGGACTACATGACTCAGCTATTGTTAAAGTTTGGGGAACAAGGGGTTTTCCAGCAAGCCAGCGACTCTAGACCTACAGATTTCTGGATTGCAGAAAAGGACACCAAGTCAAAGCAGGTATCCTCAAAAGCTGGGAGTAATGGTGGGGGAGGAAGGGGAAGCCTTGCCAGCAAGAAGTACCAAGCTGACATGTACTGGGCACAATCACAGGATGGGCTAGGAGATTCTGCCTATGGTAGCCATCCAGGTCCAGCAAGCAGCAGAAAAATCCAGGAGTTGGAGCTGGATCATGGGGCTGGAGGAGGTTTTCAGGGAGAGGAGCCACAATGGTACACCGATTCTTTGGAGTGTATCACCGATGAATTTAAGAAGACAGATCAGAATGTCCGAGACTCTATGGACTCACTTGCTCTTTCCAATATTACTGGTGAGTAGATGGAACTCTAAAAATCAGATATGGAAAATAACATGATTTTATGCTATGTCTGTAGTTGGATTTTGATGTATTTTAGTGCAGAAATGTAATAAATTTTCTTCTCCTTTCTAGGAACCTCAGTAGATGGTGATAATAAAGAAAGGTCTATGGTATATTCCCTACAAGGTTTCCATGAACTGGAAACAGAAGACTGTGAGAAAACCAGTAATATGGGAACGCTCAACTCTTCTATGTTACACAGAAGTGCAAATTCCCTAAAAAGTCTTGCATCTGAGCAGGAGGAGGTGGAGAATGTTCTAGAAGAAGCACCCCAGGAGGACAGACCCAAACCTCATGTCCCTGCCCTCAGAAGGACACGTTCACAGTCTAGGCCGCAGCAAGTCAAATTCTCGGATGATGTTGTGGACAATGGCTATTATGGTGACATTCAAGTGCGGCAGCCACCTATGAGTGAACGGACTCGAAGGAGAGTGTACCACTTTGAAGAACAAGGCCAGGACCTTCACTCTGGTCGCCAACAGCACCACCATAGGAGGCGTCGCAGCCGCAAATCCCGGTCTGACAATGCTTTAAACCTTTTGCCTAAGGAAAGGCCCCAGATGTGCAACAAAGCGGACCGCAGAGGGAATGCCCTCGGTTCCAAGGGGCACCAACCATTCCACGGTCACCCCCATTCTGCTGCCATGTCCGACTACAGGTTACAGGGCCAAGCAATGGGAAGGTTCTTGGGTCTATATGATGATGATGATGACTGGTGTTCTACATGCTCATCTTCCTCCTCTGATTCTGAGGAGGAAGGTTTTTTCCTGGGTCAGCCCATCCCTCAGCCCAGGCCGCACAGACACTATTACACTGATGACTTGCCAAGCTCTGTAGCAGGCATGTCCTCTGCTCCTTATGGCCAATGGACTAAATCCAAAAAGAAAAAAGGCCACAAAGGGAAAAACTGTATAATTTCATAGGCTTTACTCTGCTGAGCATTGGGCAACGGTTTGCCACTCACCGATGCCCCTTTGTTCATCATTTAAAATATTAACAGTTTGCTTGCTATTAAATGCTTCACAGCACTCAATTTACCAAGGTGGTTGTGTAAGACACAAGTCCATATTTGGATTATTATAGGTGTGTACACTTGCATAGCATTACAAACTGATGGTAAAGTATAATACATATTTATAAAATATAATCTAAACTGTGTTTGTTTAACAGTGCAGATATATTGTATATATTGTAGAAATTTTTTAAAGTAATATTTTTGTACCTTTGTCATTCTTTATACCAAATGGCATTAAAATTAAACAATTGGCTGTTGGTACAGAGCCATTCTTAAATATGGGTGTCAGAAATTTAAAGACAAACTGACATGACCCAGGCTCTGCAGATGTTTTTTCCAGGTTTGTGCAGCACCAACATAAAAGCACTGTGTATTAATAATTAGCCTGTTGGAACAATCTATTTATGGGTCACTGTACTGTAAGAAAATCATTGCAATCTGTATAAATGTATAAACTGGAATATAAGGCTAAAATAGGTGTTAATTGCAATAAAAATCTCTATATATCATGATTTGATTGTGTTTGGTGTTGATTTTTTTGTGACCATTTTCTGAAAACACATTTAATTGATGTACTGTAATTGATGTAAACAAGGAAATACGAGACATCATTTATTTACAGGTCTCACATTTTATTTGCAAAAGTTTTAACTGCAAAGCAAAAAGATATTCACAAGCAGAAAAAAAGAAAATAAATGCATATCCTAAAAAATGCACTCTCCTGCACCAGTAAAACACGTCATGAACTTGGACCCTTTGATAACTGGTGGATAATGCTTGTTTTTGTGTTGGTCTCAGCTGCACTTGCAGCCATAGCTAAAGGTAAAAATCATTCTGCTACATTTCATGATTTCTTATTTTTTTTGTAATTTCCTTATCAGAAGATTTTAGCAGTAATGTTAACCAAGCTTCTAGCTGGTGTAAACGATGACATGTTTAGCTTTACATCAATTATAAATGCAATAACATTTTATGTTTCTGACAACACAATTCATGGTTAAAAAAAAAAAAAAAAAAAAAAAAAAGCAATTAGTTATATGTCAGTTCACAAACTTGATTTTGACCCAAAATGCAATAGGCATTTCAGTCATTCAGTCTAGTTTTAAACATACCCCTTTCTATCACAATGATCCTGTTTGCACATAATACTGTACATGAGTGTTTTGTGTAAATAAATTGCCAGTACTGTTCTTTGAAGAACACAGTAAAAATATAAAATAGTTAAACACTTTAGATAAACTTTGCACATGGAATATTTTTCCACTTTTTTCAGGTGGAAAGTGTTGAAACTCTATTCTATCTCCTCTTTGTTTTAGTGATGTGCGGCTTACGCTTTGGTGTCCGGCTGCTCTATTACTTCATCCAGCTCCTTCACAAAGTTCCTAAGAGCATCTAGGCAACGCTGTTTGATCTCCAGCAGGTTTTTGTCTAGTGGCGCTTGCAGCATTTTATCCAAGCTGGGCTCTTTTTCCACCAGCATATTCACCACCGTGCGAAACGTCTCACAGTCCTGTCTGTAATGCTGTAAACAAAACAATCAGGAATGTCATTATGTATGCAATATCATAACACAACGAATAAAAAACAAAACAAAATCAAAGCCACATTATAAAGACATAATAAATTGTTCTATTTGAATGTTATAACTGTGCCCTTATCTTAAAGGGCTGATTTGTGAGATGGATAGCTGCAAGAATGAAAAGAAAGTCTAAAAGGCAGAAGTGAATCCTGTTCTGATCTGAAACAGTGGCACTAAGAAGGAAGCTGAGCTGAGGTGGTAGAGTTGAAGATGCTCAGGTTTATACTGAGAGAGACCAGGATGGACAGGATTAGAAATATCAGAGGGACAGCTCAGGTCGAGCAGCTTGGAGACAAAATAGAGGCACAAGTCTGGTTTGAGCAAGTGAGGAGGCGGCATAGTGGATATATTGTGCAAAGGATGTTGAATATGGAGTTGCCAAGAAGGAGGAAAAGAGGAAGGTTTATAGATGTAATGAAGGAGGACATGTGGAAGGGTTGATGTGACAGAAGAGGATGCTAGCAATAGGATGAGATTTTTTGCTGTGGTGAGTAGTAAAAAAAAAAAAAAAAAAAAAGAATATTATAGTCTTTGATTCTTTTTTTCTCGTTGCCTCTTCAAAATAAAATCTTGAGTCTTTTGGCTTTAAAAGCAACGGATCTTTTTTTTCTCAAATTACAAGAAAAGCAAAGGATGTCGTTTGGATGTGTAGTTACACAATGAAATCAATTAGAACTAAACCTAAGTAGGTTTTCATACATGTAACATGTATACTTTACTCTTGAAATTAATAATTAAGTCCCAGGTTGAGTTAGTAAGTGCAACATAAATATAAACATAAATAATTTGTTCGTTATGCACATAAAACAGAGTAAAACTGTGTATGTACAAAAACAGAATACACTTGAAATGTACTGATGTATTTATAAGCCGTCTGAACAGAAATGATTAAGTAACTAACCTCAAATACAAAGTGAACACTGACAGTTGTTTAAATTATAGTCTAACTACTGTGCTCATGGATACCTGTGAACTTAATGAACCCATTTTTCCTGTATTCATCACATAGGTGCGTGAATGTGAACCTACATTCGTGCACGTCGGCTTATAACAAAATGGCCATGAGGTGTCAGATTATGTTAACTTGACTGCAGCATTCTTTCACACCACATTGCAACAAGCTCTCATGTCCCATAGAGATTTTACTGCCGACCCAAAACAGCTATTAAGTTCTTTATTGGAGTCCCAGGTGCAAGCTGACAACATCTTTATCACCTGAGGGAAAATGGCAAAATGCAAGGCCCTTCACTGACTCTGCACAGAGGTTTAGGGCTACACCAGCCTGTTAAGGAGGACTATGGGACATCAGAGTCTTCCAGAGTTCAGCCGCAATCACATCTACAATCACGGTCACTGGAGAACTTGAAACAGCCACTCTGCAGGTGATCAAGCAGCAAATATATATCAAAATACAGCCAGTGCAAAAAAAAAAAAAAAAATTAATATCATTTCCAGCTAGTTTTCAATTTTTTTGGTTATCTCAACTATTGATAACAACTTGATCAAACAGAAGACAGTCCTTGCTCAGTTTTGCACATGTCTGGAGACGTGACCTACTTCTTTAAAGTAATGACTTAATTAAACAGTCTCAGCATCCTTATGTTAGAAGTACTACTTATCTGTGTCATGTTCAGACCACAAAGCCATTTTAGGACTGTGGGGTGTGCAGGCATTAGTTGCTGAACTAAAATTAGCCAACTGTATCTCATCTACTATTATCAGTCTGTTAAAATACAATAAAACACACACCATCAGCTTTGCTAACTTTGAAAAGAAAAAAATGCTACCTGTCAACTTAAATCAGTGTCCGTGCTTAAACAGAAAGTGAGGTTAAACGGTTAAACACTATATTCCAGGGTTCTGTCAGTGCTGGGGAAATTAAAAACCACAGCTGCTGTTTCTTTGCCTAGATACATATCATGTAATGTCAGGCTAACTCAAAATTGTGTATCCATCAGTCTGAAGCATTTAGAAATGTACTGCCATAACCTAACCTTACCCGCTGAGAACTTAATAAAAGTTATGTGTCTCCAATATGTAATTTGCTAAATCGTTTAACTGTCATTATTGTAAATCTAGAATATTTAAAAAATATAAATTTACCACAGTCAAAATCTGAGAGGGAGTTGAGCCAGGTGGGGCTTTAAACACGCGGAAAAGGTCAAAGAAACAAGAATAACATTCACTCCTGAACAATATGGATGGAAACAGATCACCACATGGGAGCCATTTACTGTGTTTTCAAGCAAAAGAGGCTACTGAGCGAACCTGTTAGAGAGGGGAAAAAATCCCAGGCGCTGGGTCTGGTTAAAATGTTATGTGAAAATTACACACAAAACTTGGAGAGTGAAAATGAACGGTCTTCATTGTATGCTGTTCTTGATAATTACAATTAAGTTAAACAAAAAATGCCTACAGCCTCTTTAGTTATCCTTTTTATATCATTCCTCTCTCACTTCACAGCTGAACCAGCCACAGCATGTTCAGATGCCTAATTCTCGCTTATTTGTTCATTCTCGCATCTTTAACACACCTTCTTCGCTTTAGACCATTTGAAACAAGGTTAAAGGAAAAATTAATCAAATATTAGGTGAGTAAATAACTATTATGAATGAATGTTGATGCAATATAGGTTATTATCACTGTATTTCAATATGCATTGTACACATACACACAAAGGGAAGGCTGTTTAGAATGAATCTGACAGAAATATCCCAGACTGTGGGAGATGTTTGGACTGCGGCGGATGTCTTAATGTCTGCAGATCATGTCATGTGAAATTTGCAACCCCACATAATGATAGACTTCAACCCGACCACAAGGAAGTGAGCGACTCACGACACGTGTGGCCACTAAGCTGAGGGTCAGCTTTATACAGCAACGCGTGGGCCCCTTTTCTCTGTCGACCTACAAAACCATTTGTCCTTCTAACAGTTGCAACTATTTTCTACTAATAAATTTATCTCCTAAGAAAAGATCTGTCCTCCTTGAACATTTGCACAAAGTAAAAATCATTTAGAAAAAAAGCCTGGTCCAAATGTGAGAGGAAACATGGGCTAAGTGAGACACAAACATGTGGTATAATGCCCAACGCACCAATCCCACCCCTTTAATCGCCTTCGGATTGATTTTGTTTGCCATCTTTCAAAACAAAGCCATGTCTGAGCTCTTCCCAAGTTACAGCCTTTCGTGGCAGTAATTACATTTTCACTTCATTATATCCCACAGACACTGTTTTCATGCTTGAAAGAATAAAAACAGACTTGAGAATGCTTCATTTGCTTCATTTTTCTGAAGGATTAACAACCGATGTATATGTACAACATAGTGAACAACTGTGGGGAGACTATTATTTCTATAAGAAATGTTTCTATTTCGCATGAACTAATAGGAAGTGTGTTTCTGACCTCAGCATGCTCTTAATGTTGTGAGTAAAGGTTGCGGTGAGGTTCTGCCTAAGTTCCTTCTCTGGAGTGGGCGCTATGGGCTGATTTTTAAGCCTGATACTACGGGCCCACACAGGACGGACCGGAGCCCCAGGAGAAATGGCAACACTAGGGGCCTTAAGGAGGAGCCTTAAAAAGCAGGCTTCTGCCCAAATCGGATGTTTGTGGAGGTCCAGATTGTGAACATACAGACAGGAGTGTGCAGTGGAATAGTGTGTGGGGGCTGGGAAGTAAAGGCTTTGAGTGAAATTATACATACGGCTCTCACATGGATGTTTAGTGAGGCTCTGTTCAAATGAGCACTGATGCAGGCAGGGGTCCTGCATAATAAGGGAAGTAGGGTAATGACTTGAGGGCTGGTACACATTAGGGGATATTAAAAGAGCCATTTTAATCACTCAAGCTGCAAACCGGACCTCTCAATGGAGGGGCTAATAGTTGAAATGGATATGTTTCATTTGGGCTGATTGAGATGATGAATGTACTTCTAGGGAAAATCACTCCCAGGCACTTAGCTTTGGTGTGATATTGAAATATGGATGTTTTCTAAGTTTCCACTCTGTTGTTGTTATTTTACATGTTCAGACTTGTTCTGTGGTCACTTTAAAGAATAATAAACTGATCCTCTGCCCATCTGTTGCAACAGAAAAAAAAGAGGAGTTATGCACTTTTAACTTAATGTTCACACACTCAGACTCTGATGGATGCAACTTGGTGTCCAGTATTTTGCTCAAGGATACTTCGACATGCAGGTTGGAGAATCCAGGGTTTGAACCACCAACCTTCTGAGAAGCACATTACCCACTCTACCTCCCAGGCCATCGCCTCCCTATGATGGCTTCAGACAGTATGTTATGGGATGCAATGAGTCACTGCATTAAATCTGTCTGTGACTGAATGAGCCTCATGCAGGGATGTCCACAAATGATTAAAACTTGTAGAAAAAAAAAGCTCATTTTGAAACGACAAACAT